CCTAGAGGAACACAGGGCTTGAGCTGCATGTCTCCATTGAGTTCGGTTCTCTGCGAGAGTCTTCACCTGGCTCCATGTCTGCCCACACGTTTTCATCTCCTCTTCACATGACCTCCTCCAAGTCACCCTTGCACTGACGACCAACTCGTCGCTTCCCTTTCGGCCAGGTTCCACTCAAGGGCTTGTCTAGTGATGTCACTTGATGGTTTCCTCAGAGTATGGCTAATCCATCTCCATTTCTTCCTGCCTATTTGTTTCACAATCGGTTCTTGGTGGGTTGGTTCTCTCCCAGAGATCTCTGTTGCTGATCTTTTTTGACCGGCCATCTGATCCTGAGTATTGAGCAAAGACAACTGTTAATGAAGGTCTGTAGTTTGTTTGAGATGCTCTTTATGACGCGCAGTGCAAGTCTTTGATCCGTATAGTGAGTAGCACTGACTGACTTCACATTGGAGTTGAAAATCCGGATCTTATTTTTGATGCTGAGTGCTATTGACCTCTACACAGACTTGAGAGTAATGAAAGCTTGTCTTGCTTTGATATCCTCGTCAGTTCCGGCTGTAGTTGAAACGATGCTTCCCAGGTAGGTAAAAGAGGCTGTTTCTCTCATGTTCCTTCCATTTATGCTGATTGTTGTCTGTAGTTGTTGTTGCTGTTGGTGGTGTTGCCTAGGAATCATCATCACCTCTGTTTTCTCTATGTTCACCTGAAGTCCTATCTTTGATGTTTCTTCTGCCAACTTGTTGCTTTTCACTTGCATATCTTCCAGTTTGTGGGAAATCAGACATATATCCTCGGCGAAGTCCAGATCCTCCAATCAATCAAATGCCGTGCTTTTTTTCTGAAAGAACAACGGAAAAGAAGTATCATAATGGTGGGATTGGTTTGCGTTTCTGGCTAGACAGAGTTGTGTCACGCGACCCACTCTCAATTAATAATTTTTTATTTGAAAATCTTGTACGAAGGCAAAATATCATGTGATAAACTTCGCTGAAAATTCTGTACATTATATAAAAACTGTCCAAAATAAAGCTATTGTTATTATTCACTGCAATCTTGAAGTAGCTCATGTCCATTCTGAAATTCAAACCTGTATCACACAGTTCTGCAACACAGAGACGTTACTACTGAGCTATACGAGCTGGCGATTGACCTCCAGTGGGACTATTTAAAAACCTTGATTGGAGTTCCTTCAAGGTTGCAGATACACTTTGCTGACTGGTGAGTGCCAAAAAGCACGAAACCTAAGTCGAAGGCTTTCTGCCGATTGCCTCCAACCATCTCGTAACAATAGTTCAGAGTGCACCGTGATGGCTAGTCACCTAGCATGGTGGCAAACTTGACTGATAGAATTCAGTCTGCACGAAACGAAGGACTAGACACGTATGACACTAATTACTGACTACCTAGTGTCCAATCGAAGTTGTCCTGTTCTGTCTATGGTGAGGTATATTTCAGTGTCATGTAGTATGAATCAGAATTAATGTACGAGTATTAGTCATTTTCAATCACCTGACTGGATGTCGTTACATACACACATTCCTTGCTCCACTGACTGATATTCAATTGCCTAAAGGCTGTGAGTCACTGGTTTTCACGTACCGACTACTACTTCTAGAATAATCAGTAACTCCTGTAATCATTTGGTCGAACGTAGTAATAATATTGATTCTCGCTTTGCACCTTCTTCTCTCTTTTCTTTCCTAACCTCTCAATAAGCCTGTTACGGATATAATACAAATGATTGTTTATTGATAATAGGTATTTGTCTTTCACTCCTTTTCAATTAACAATTAACAGTTCAAGAGTAATTGCAAAACTATGGATTACATATACTTACTTACCATGTTTATTTACGTGATGATTAGTAGGGTCGTGAATATAGCCTAATCAATCAGATTGTGTAATTCTGTCATCCTACAAAAATGCTTATACTTAGAATTTTCCCTTCGTTTTCTGAGTTCTATGCAAATTGTTAATGTTAATGAGTGTTCCATACATCCGGCTCCACTGATTGGTCTAATCAAAGCGAACATATTTACTGGATAAAAATAGCTCATGTTTTTCACTTTGCGGCTTCTTCTTCTCATCTGTTCACAGCCTACAACAAAGTGAAATAAGTTATTATAAGTCCAAAGATTAGGTTGAAATTGTTTGATTGATAGCAATGGCTTCTGCGAAGAGAATTAGCTAGCGTTTCCTTTATGTGTGTCTGTCCAGTGTCAATCAGATGTTTATCGGTTGCACTTAGAAACATTTTCTTACTTTTTACATGAAGATTGTGGATATGCTCAATGAATTCTCTCCTCTCAATTCTTCCTGTGTACTTGCTACAGCATGTACATGTGAATTGGTAAATGCAGTTGGTGTTGATGTTAGTAGGATACTTATCTACTTTGGAATGTATTCACGAATATTTCATGTGGTCAAGAGGAATCAATCTAGCGACGGAAGATGCTGTTTTCAATGTACCTTTGATTCTTTTTTATAATTCTTGTTGATGCTTCTTTCCCTCTGTACACCAGGAGAATAAAAACAGGTTTTTTCTCAACTGTTACAGGCTTCAGTGTGGACATTTCTTCTCTTCTGCATTTCATTATGGGCATCTTGGCAAATCCATTCTCCACTAAATTCTTTTCAATAATCATGATTTCTTGATCTATCATACTTTCTAAATATAACTCCCTCACTATAGTGAATAACGTTTTGACCAGTTGATCAAAACCTGTGTTTTCTATAGTTTGGTTTGTAAGGGTTAGTTTTGTTTTTACGATTTGATCACGGATTGATATCAGTTAGAGAACCATTGAAAACCAGGGAGTACTGGACAGCTGTTTCATCCTAGTTTGGGAATCATTGGCAGTATGCACCCACCGCCAGGGTTCGAACCCAGGACCTTCCGGTTACAAGGCAAGCTCGTATACCATTCAGCCACTGGGACTCGATTCAATGGCCAGCCCATGAATTCTAACTTCTACCAATTCGTGATACAGAGCGACCCCACCCAATATCGTCGGTGGGACATCCATCCTGTGTTAATTCAAGTATTGATCTGTCCATGTTCCTTTCTATAGCTTTTCTTTTTCTCCAACGGTTCCATCATTTCTTCGTCTTGTACTAAGTTCCCGAAAGTTGAACTGATTGTTACGTCAACTTAATGTGAGTATGAGTTGCATTGAGTTTTTCAAACATCATTGACGCATAGTGTTCATATTACTGCAAACAAAAAAATGTATCGTCAACATACCTGCAGTAATATATGCTCTTCTGTATTTCTAATTTCATTCTTGTCCATTCAAGGTGGGTCATAAATGTTTCCACAAGAACAAAGTTGAAGCATGCAATCGACGAAATAACATCCTACTGTCGATTTGTTGATGACACATTTATAGTGTGCAACAATGAAAGTCATGCTTCACACTTACTAATATTATTCAATGTTGCGCACGCCAATATTGAGTTCACTATGGAACATGAAAGTGACGGAAAGTTTCACTTCCTCGACATGCCATGGAACGCCTAGAAGACGGTAGTTCTTTATCGAAAGTCTACATGGAAAGACAATCTTACATTTAATAGTTTTGTCAAATAGCTTACGTTTATCATTACTAAGAGCTTATAGAGAATTAGAGGAAAATTTGAGTTTTGAAAGACATTGAAGAGCAATGTACTTAAAGGTTCATCAACAAGTTGGAAGATCTGAATCACAAATTAAAACAAATCACAGTAAGAAAAAGCCAATCTATTTCAGCTTGATTATAAAGGTGAAAACATTTCAGCGATGATCAACAGAAGGCTGAGCACATCACTAGCCATAGCTATCCTGCAGCTAAGCTGTTCCCGTCTATCGAACAACTTGGTCTTTGATGCAATCCAAAATCGATAGACATCCTTTAATGTTAATTCCAACTGTATATACAAATTTACATGTATCTGGGGAGCAGTTACATTGGAAGAACAGAAGAAGGGCATATCTACGATTTTCTGAACATGTACCAAAAAGCTTATGTCTAAAGGGAACAAATGCTTTAAACAGTGCCATCGCCAGGCATTTTCTAGACACGGGTCATGAAGTGGACGTCGAAAAGTCGTTCAAAATTATCAATAAGCAAAAGAGCTAATTCTCCTTAGTTTGCTGAAGCCATTTCCATCAAGCGCCTAAACCTGATTTGTGCTTCAGAAAGAAGCGTTATAGTCTTTCTTTCCTGGTAACTGGATATTTTCATCCAATGCGAGATCTGAAAAGTTTCATTGTGTATGATTATTATTGTTCGGAATAGTGTTTAATATTGCATATATATATATAATTAGTGTATGCGTACATTGATCGATTGATTTTTGTTTAAAATGAACTCTCAGTATGTTAAATTGTTTTTGTAGATACATTTAATAATGTCTTTGCCCTGTAAGCAGCTGACGGAAGGCAACGAAATAAAAATATTCTGCTAAATGTAGTTCTTGCTTTGTTCAAATTCATTAAGGGGAATAAATGTATGAAATTTCCTAGTACCGTTGGTTATTGAGCAACCATTGTCTCAACTCGTTTTCGGGAAGAGGAAGTAATTCAATGTTTCTGCAGGGTGTATGCCTGATAAACAAACATCATTTGATACTATGAGTTTGTCTGTGTGTGTGTGTGACTACCAATCAACCGTATTGGCAGTCTCCAAAATTGCCTTCACTACATTTTACGTAGTAAACTTATCTAATTATATCTAGTGTGTCGACAAGACAATATTTCGCATCAGTTATTCACATAACAGTTCAGCCAAGGCGCTTCAATGGTTGAAAGGAAATTAAGGCCTAGTTATTTAATGGTTTCGTAGCTACTTGGGTAGAGCTTTAAACTGGTAGATAATCTGGTGGTCTAAATTTTCGCCTTGTTTCAAGTTATTGCTCTATTAGATTATTATTTCTGTCTTGATTTATATTATTATTATTATTATTGATTACTACAATTACATCTCGTGTCTGTTAAAACTTCATTTTCATACTTATAGCTGACCTTATTCAACCCGACTGGTCTGGTGGTCAAAATGTTTGTCATTGTATATGATTTAGACGATATGCCACCGAATTGTCAAACCTTTTTAAGACAACGCACAGTCTATATGCCAATACAACAGAATCAATACCCGATCTCGGAGCCACCGACTGTCTCATCTCTTTCTCCGACTTCTTTGTCAACTCCATCTACTTGTCAACATCATCATAATTCATATAATCGTGCGTATAATCCAGTTCGTCATCAGTATACACGTACGTCTACGGATTATCTAACTCCTGCTACGCATCCTGCTACAACTACTGCTGGTTCCACCTTTGCGAATGGTTCAACTGATCTTTTCTGGAGTAGTACACCGCATAAATCGTTAACTGAACCAAATACCCCGTTGTTTTCTTCATCGCCTTCATGTTCCTGCTCATCAATATCATCTGTGTGCTCATCAAGTCCTTATGGTTCACAAAGTGCTGTGTATCCGGGTACACCGAATTCCCGCAATGAACTACCTGCATATCTGCGTTACCTCGTTCATCTAAGGTGAGATTTAAAAAAAAAACTTTATGTGTATATTTTATCGGTGCAGTACTGATTGTCTATGGTTCTTCTTTTTTACCATAGTGTTATTTCACTGTCCTTTTTTCAAGTTTGTTCACAGATTGATATCAGTTAGATAACCATTGAAAACCAGGAAGTACGGGAAAGTTGTTTCGTCCTAGTTTGGGGCTCTTCATCAGTACGCACCCACCACCAGGGTTTGAACCCAAGACCTGCCTGCTATAAGTCAAGCTCGTAGACAACCATTCAGCTACTGGCACTGGACCACCAGCCAGTGTCGCTGTCGCGTATTTGTCCTCACACCCGACCTGAGTTTGTTTACTATCACAAAGACTGACTCAATGAATTTCAACGTAGAACTTTGTACAGAAGTCCATCAGTTCAATTTGTCAGTCTTCATACAGCACATAAAAGTCGAGAAAAAGAAAAAAGTCAAAAGAGCTATAATCAGTAGAAGGAATGGTATCATTAGAAAGGAAATAAGAATTGAATGGATCTGGGATCTGCGCCACTGATTAAGATCCTCGGTCATTGGATCATAGCATCCAGAGGTCTCCAACCAGGCAGTCTACATCACCCTACATAGAGCTTTCGCTAACTTACACCATCTCTGGCGTAGGCGTGACATCCGACTATCAACCAAGGGACGTGTGTATACTGCTCCGTCTTTCTCTATGGCTCTGAAACATGGCCAATACGAGTTGAAGACATGATCATAGATGTCTACAATCTCTTTCTCACGTTAGGTGGCATAATAAGGTAAGTAATGTTGACGTTAGGCGTAGAGTGTTGGGCAAAGAGGGAAAATCAATCGAAGAGGTTATAAAGTTACGTAGATTGAGATGGCTAGATCACGTACTGGGCATGCCTAACCATCGCCACCCCCGACGGGCATTACTAGCTGATATAAGTGCAGGTTGGAGAAGAGTAAGCGGTGGCCAAACAAAGACATGGCCTCATCAATCCATGAAATCCCTGACAGTTAAACTGAGTCAGGTAGGGAGGGAGATGCAGCCCTCGGGACTCTAAGAATCAATGGCTGGAGACAATAGGCGACATGGCTCAAAATCGTTGTCAGTGGCGCAGATGTATTCAGTCTCTGTAATCTTTCATATTCCTTTCTACCATTACTCATTCTGTTCCACTCTTATACTTATCAAAACTCTATTGATCCTCTTCACTCATTTTCTTGTCTACCTTTGTGTGCTATTTGGAACGTGGCAACTCGAACTGCTGCACTTCGGTGCCAAGTTCTATGTTGAATCTAGTCAGCCAGCCAGCCAGAGCTCAAAACAACTGTCGATGACTTCATGGATTGATGCTATGTTTCGATCTGACCACTCGTAACTCTTTCCCAACCTTATCTTATGTCAGCTATCGGTACTCGTCGTGGAAAGCGATGGTTTAGCATGAGTAGCATATATATCCTAACCGTCGCAATCGGTGCAACTTCACAACCCCATCGGTTGGTTGACTTGCTCTCTTCACCCAGAACTTTATGACTAACCACAGTATTACACAGCATATTATGCGGCTTAACGCGGGAGATAGATAGCAAATACCTGTGGTCAAGCGCAGCTAGCTTCTTTAGGTTTTCCATGACTATGTTTCATGGCCATGAAGATGGAACCAAGTATAGGGACTCAACGATACCATATTTGGCTCATGTTCCATGTGGTAGAGACAGCATAAAGCGTGAAACTTGTGAATTACTATATTGTTAGCTAAATAATTGGCCCTTTTATTATCTCCTATTTGTGACGTTACCTCAACTAACTGACAATCTTAGCTACTAGCCTTATTATAACTATTTACGATTTCTCTGTACATGTATATATATATATATCTACCGACAATAATACATCTCATCCAACAGCTATACGACAATGCTTCATGCCAAGTAATCCACAACGGGAAACTTACGGAACCCTTCGAAGTGAGGACAGGAGTAAGACAATCTGGCTGCCTACTATCGCCAATGATTTTCTTGATTGCAGTAGATTGGATAATGCGACAAACAGTGGGCAATGAGGAAACAGGCATAAAATGGACACACACAAAAAACTTGGAGGATCTGGACTACGCCGATGATATATGTCTGATTTCCCACAAACTGGAAGATATGCAAGTGGAAAGCAACAAGTTGGCACAAGAAGCATCAAAGGTAGGACTACAGGTGAACATAGATAAAACAGGGGTGATGAAGATTCCTGGGCAACACCACCAACAGCAACAACAACAACAGACAACAATCAGCATAAATGGAAGGAACCTGAAAGAAACAACCTCTTTTACCTACCTGGGAGGCATCGTTTCAACTACAGGCGGACGGAACTGATGAGGATATCAAAGCAAGAATCGGAAAAGCAAGACAGGCTTTCATTACTCTCAAGTCTGTCTGGAGGTCAACAACACTCAGAATCAAAAATAAGATTCGGATTTTCAACTCCAATGTGAAGTCAGTGCGACTTACTATACGGATCAGAGACTTGGCCAGCGCGTCATAAAGAGCATTTCCAACAAACTACAGACCTTCATTAACAGTTGTCTTCGCTCAATACTCAAGATCAGATGACCAGAAAAGATCAGCAACAGAGATCTCTGGCAATGAGCGAACCAACCAGGAACCGATTGTGAAACAAATAAGCAGGAAGAAATGGAGATGGATTGGCCATACTCTGAGGAAACCATCAAATGACATCACTAGACAAGCCATTGCTCGAGTGGAACCCGAAAGGGAAGCGGCGAGTTGGTCGTCAGTGCAAGGGTGACTTGGAGGAGGTCATGTGAAGAGGAGATGAAAACGTGTGGGTAGACTTGGAGCCAGGTGAAGACTCTAGCAGAGAACCGAACGCAATGGAGACGCACGGCTGAAGCCCTATGTTCCTGTAGGAATTAAAGGATACAATAAATAATTTTATATATATATATATATATGACTCCACTATCACTACAAATACAGAATAAGAACGGTCATTACCAATCCTGTAATATTATCTTTATATTATTATGTTTACTATTATTCGGTAAAATTAGATGCAATATTGTACCGAATGCTGAAAACTCCGCACTGTAACATTAGTACTGTTTTTTTAGAATAAAGCACATTATTATTATTACCATTATCGTTATTGATAGAGCAAACACACGTCTTTCCATCTATAGCCGGATATCACGTCTACACTAGAATTGATGTAAGTTGTCAAATGCCACATCAGGCTTTTGTATCCGTGCTAAGATTTTATTAGCGACCAGTCGACTGTGGCTGAATCAACTTCCAAAATAATTGAAGTGGGGGACCCTACGTAGGATTCTAAATAAAGCAGGAATTAGGGTGGCATTTAAACCTACAAACTCACTCAGGGACAAGCTCTGTAGGTTAAAGGACCCAGTGGACCCAATTACACAAAATAATATAATTTACAAAATACCCTGCAATGACTGTGAAGTCAACTACAAAGGTCAAACTAGTAGGTCAGGGGTAGTCAGATTATCAGAACATAAGAATTTAGCTAAGGTAAGAATGGTTGACACAGAGAAGATAAGTAATTTAGAAAAAAGCTCGGCAATTGCAATGCATGCATTAACATACAACCACACAATAGGGTGGGAGAGGGTTAAAATTCTAAAAAGTAATCTAGGTAGGTGGAGAAAGAGGTTGATTACTGAATCTTTGTTCATCGAATCTACACCCAACACATGCAATAGGAATGAATCATCACTCATACCTGAAATATGGAAAATAATACTACCAATCAAATCAAGTGAAAAACAATGGAACTATATAAATGAATTTAGGAAGTCGTGTGGTTACCTTGATATGATTATGAGCAATAAATTGTGCTCGAAACGTCATCAGTAAGTATTACTGTATAACACTGTGAGACTCTATCAAAATAAAAATTACCCATAATGGAATTACACTCTACCACAGTGCCCAAGTTTTATTCTTATATCAAGTGGGGGAATACGCTGAACCGCCTTATTCCCTATCTTTAAAGTAGGCAAGAAACGCACTTTTATGCTGTTATAAATATCCTTACATATGGTTTTCATGTGTAATCTGTCTTAGTCTCTCAGACTACATCACTTTATAGCGCTTATAAGCGTTTCAGACTTAGTTCATACATTCAAATTACCTTTCAAGTAGAAGAATTGCATAATAGAAGGAACATAGTTCTGCACTGTAGAGATATCATTGTAGGCATTTTTACTTGCGGTTATAGTTACAAGTTATGAGCTGACTCGACAGATCTGCAGTCTCCTAACTCTTACCACTCTCAGTTTATTAATGTAGGAAAAGAGAGTTAGAAGCGTATCAGTTTTCCCTGTGTGTGAAGTTTAACTTATAATCATCAAATCCCTAACTTCTTTACGTCTGTTGTCCGGTGGTAGGAATACTCCCCAGTTACTTATAGGGTCCGTTCTTGATCCCTGGACGGTGCACTCCTTAACCCCTCGTCTAGTTTTCTAGTTGGTAGTCAACCGGGACCAGCAACCCACCCCACTGAAATAATACTACCGTCTTATGTTCTACTCGGAATACAAGGAATGAAAACAGTCTGATTTCTAGTGAGAAGTTGTGACCAGTGGGTTCCATATGGTCGAAGTGAGGACAAATACTCACCACTGATGACACTGGCTGGTAGTCACGGTGAAATCACGAATTGATATAGAAGTTAGAATTCATGAGCCGTTAAGTTGGGTTCCAGTGGCTAAATAGTCAACGAGTTTGTCTTGTAACCGGAAGGTCTTAAGTTAGGAAAGCATTAGCTGCATAATTCCAATGAGTCCCAAACTAGGTGTAGACAGGTGTCGAGTACTCCCCGGCTTTTTTTAATTGGCTCTCTGACTGATTGATATCAATCCATGCATGGATTAAACTTGAAACGAATCTAATTTCAAGTGGTAAGAGAATTAATGCTATTATCATTTTTTGAAGAAGAACCTAGAAGACCTGGATTTCGCGGATGATTTATGTT